GAGTCCTCTGCTGCCCAGAGATTGAATGGCTGTGGCTGAGATTTATCTGCTGAACCCTAATGTGTTATCTGAAGGTTTCTCTTGGAAATATTCTGCTGTTTGTGTTTTTTTTCTTAGTTTTCATTGAATGTATCCAAATGAAATGCGGTGACTTTTCACCACATTTGCATTTATTTCCTTTCAGTCTCTCCCTCTCTCTCCCTTCCCCACCTCTTCCCTCCTCACCTTAAAAGACCTTGCCAGAATGTAACTCCTAGCTCTTCCCAGTGTAGAGAAAGCTGCCTGCTATGGAGGGAGAGGGCGAGTCAAGGTTCTCCCAGCATGGAATGGGAGAGACCCCTGCGTCTCAGAGGTCACTGGTAGAAGCTGCTCTGTAACTGGTGTCTGGTGCCTGGGTGGCAGTGGGTGATGGTCCTTGGACAAGAAGATTTAAGACAGAATGTCCTTTTGGAGTGGATGTAGAAAATTATTTTAACTGACTGCATGAGCCAAGGACAGGACCCATATGTGACTGGACAGATGCTGTGGCATTGTAAAGAAAAAGTGTAATGCCTGTTTGATGAGTATCATTAAAATCTCATGGTAGGATGTTTTTAGGTAGTACAAGCAAAAGCCTAAAAAATAATCTGTGAGGGAAGATTGATTGAACGGGAGTTTTTCTGCTTCTGTCCTCATTCTTTTGAGACTGAAGTGCTCACGTAGAGCAGTCATTGCTGCAGTGATGCAGCAATAGCTTTTCTCCCCCTTCTGTCAGTGAGATGAAGTCCAGGGGCTTTGGTTTGCCGAGAACAGATTAGGCACTAAAAAAAAGTGATGGAAAAGCTGGAGGAGCTCTTCATGGGAAGGTTTTAAGAACAACTGTCAGTGGCTCAGGCATGTGGAGCCAACAGGGGTTTGCTCCTTGTGGTTCTGACTGCAGCTCAGGTACACTAAGCCACCTGCCCCAGTGGTGGCTTATTCAATACAAACAAGGAAGCTGATCAAGCCCTGTTATAACCAGCTTGGTTGTGTTACCCCTTGGGATACCATGCACAGGGGCTACCCTTTGTGCCAGGCCTTTGCTGGCACTTCCCCATGGTTTTGACCAGGCATCTAGTTTAATTTTTATCAGGATTCCCAGAACAGAGGTGCTTCTTGGAGCTCTTTTCACTTCAGATGTTCTGCCTAATCTTGCTCTCTGTCATCTTTAGAAAGAAAAACAAAAACAAGTGAAAACCAGTCAGCAAACAGTCATAAAGTGACTCATGGCCTGTTTTTCACCATTAAGTACAGCATTTTAAATCTTAGAGCTTGTTATTCTCCTGGCTTATTCCCTTCCTAACCAATTTCTGTCCCTTTTTGTCTCTAATGGCTATTAACATGTTTTTTGACATTTCTTTATCTGAGCATGCTCATGATTGAGCTACTGCAGTTCAAGTGTGAATTAACCTAAGCGTGCAAGGTGGGTGGTAAGAGACCATTAGCACCCACCACGTTACTATGGTCACCTATCTGCACATCCTTTTCTGGTGGGAACTGAATTGTGATTGCAAAAAACCTTGGTTCTTTGAGAGAGGAATGTTCTCATAGAGTACTTGTGTGACAGAAGGATAATTCTCCCTCTGCTAATGTGGGAATGACATGGGAGGACCAAAGACGTGGTCCAAACACCCCCTGAAAGGTGGTAACCTGATCTCTCCTGGCAGTGACACACTTGGGCCAGACCACGAAGTGTCATCCTGGCAGCAGAGTCAAGTCTGGGACTAGACTGATTGGTTTGATCCTTCAAACCAAAGAGAGAGAGACATGTAGGCAGAGAGAGAGAGAACCGATGAATGCATGGGCACTTATGGTGGCTGCCCTGGGCTGGGAGTCCTGGCTGGAGGTGGTGGAGGCTGTGCTGGGCAGGTTTGGCAGAGCTGAGGCTGTTTCTCTGCAATTTCAGATTGCTGGTCTTCTGATCCCAGAAGTTCTAGCATAGAGGCACTTTGAGGAGGGATTTTATTCTAAGAGAAAAACCCCTCTGCTGACAAAAGTTCCTCAGACTTCCATTAGGCCCCATGTATCTTTCATTCCTTAAAGAAAAACACTGAATGACCAGAAAACAAGTAGAAATTAACTTTATAGTTGGAAAACCAAGGTGAATCTGCACAGGAATGAGCACAATTATGCACAGATATCCCAGCTGCAGATAGACGAGCACAGACAAGCAGGGGCACCTGTGCTGGCACCTTCAAATACTGATTTGTAACTTTGACTTTAGCCCTTGATGCTTGGAACTGCCCTTTCACAGTTCTGTCTATCCTCCTTGCCAGCTACTCTGGCCTGAGGTTTGCTGGTCATCCCTGCCGTGCCCAGGATAGGTCTCTGCGGTTGCTGGCACCCAGACCCCTGGGACCTGCAGCCCCATATGGGATTCACCCCATAGCTAGCACTCAGACACAGCCCCATGTGGAGCTGCCTGGTGGCCCTGGTGGCTCAGGATGGAACCTCATTCTGCTTGTGAGTGACTTGTTCTCTGGAGAGGTACTTTGAGCCACAGGGGCCGGCAGAGTTTAAGTCTTTGCGTGTGATGCCCTGAGAAAGGAAGTGTCCCCCTCCTCTTTTGAGTCAGTGTCTGATTCAGTTCTGGTTGCTGAGCCAACAGGTAAGTGCCTGCCTGCTGGTAATCAAACCTGTCCTTATGGAGCTCACCTTACTGCAATCACTCCAAACACGGGGGTGGAATTTGGAGGTATTCTGTGAAATACGTGATTACAGAGCACTGGCACCAAACCTGATGACAGCAAGCTTCCCAGCTGCCCCTCTGCGTCCTGCTTGCCCCTGGCCCCTGGCAAGGGTCCCTTCCCTGGTACAGAGGAGCTGAAGCAGCTGGTTTTCTCCAGGGGGAGCAGGTACCTCAGGAACAGAGGAATGGCAGCCACTCAGTAGGTGCAAAAACACCGGTAAGCCCAGCACTGAGCCTCTGTCACAGGAGCTGTAGGTGATACCTACACAACACTTGTGGGTTTCCACACCTATTAAAATCTTTGCATTTGGCCATACTTGCTTGTGTGGTTCTCGTTAGCAAGACAACAGAAGCAAGCAAGCCATGCACCAAGGCACCTGGGGCACCTCTTCTTGTAATTTCCAGAGCTCCCCAAGAAAACTGTGTGTAACCAAGGGTTACTTCGATGGGAACAAATGCAGTTACTTTAGGTGGAACTCTTCCATCCAAATCCCATTTGAAAGTCTCTCCTGGTCTGAGCACACCAGGAACTCTTCTTATGCTGCAAGCTGAATTTTCAGTCAGTTTGGAGAGCTTTTCTGTGTTTAAGAAGACTTAGGTGCTATTTCCTGATGCATCTTCTCCATCTTGCTGACATCTCTTTTGAAATGCTTACTTTTGATCTTTGCATGCCAATGTGGATTTTATTCTGAGAGGAAAAGCTTTTCCTCTATTTGAGCATGTGCAGATGAAGGTCTCCTGTCTGTATGCAGGGTGATTAGAGGCTGTGTGCTTCCCAGGCAGGGATGATACCCCAGGCCCCAACTCCATCCGCCCCACTTTGTCTCCTCCCATCAACTCTCAGGTAACTTCCAGCTCCAGCTTAAAAGCAAAGTGTCTGAAATTGCCCTGAGCAGTTTAACTCAGTGTGCTGGCCTCAGGATTGACCCAGATAACAGGCTTAGGTGAATGAGACTGAGGGACACAATGTTTTCCTCTGGGGGATGCAGTGATGGAGTGAATCCCACAGGAGAACAAATTCAGATAATTCCCTGGAAAATCTGCAGTCACCTTCCTACAGAGAGCAAAAAATCTAAAATGCCTCTCAACATTCATCTTTCCTGTACAGCTGTTTGTGCCTTTGCCAGTGGGACCAGTGAGCAATGGCAGATGCATCCCCATTTGGTAAGTTCTTGCTTGGTGACTCCTGCACAGAAAATTCTCTCTTTTTTTTTTTTTTTTTTTTTTCCCAGGAGAAGTGTTTGGGTAAGAAAGCCCGAGCAGTAACTAGAGCTTTGCTAAAGACCACAACTATAAATTTGATTCAAGCAGAGAAAAATCAAGCTTGATTCCTTAAGGGTGAAGGTGAGGCAGAGAAGGTGTTTGCTGATGAGCTGCAGCAGATGGAGACTGTGTGGCTGGCTGCAGAAGAGTGGTTACCTGCACAAGCATGGTAGCTGCAGAGCTTCACTAACACTAATGAAGGATGGGATGCAAAGGGACTGCTGGAATTGTTTCCTGGAAAACTCGTACCTAGTCATGACCCCAGAGCCTGAACTAGAAACAGCAATCCTTGGTGATCAGCCAGGGGAGAAGTGCCTGCTCTGCGTGAGTGACATTGGTCTTGATGCAGGCATCACATGGTGATGCCACAGAGGACACCTATCAGGAGCCCCAGAGAGCCCCAACTCCTGCCTAGGCCCTTTACAGCCCACCAGACTGCTCAAAACAGAAGGGGAAGCTCCTGTTTCATTAGTAGGGGCTCAGTGGGACTAAAGGACCAGCCTTAGGCAGCAGCTGCTTCCCCTTCTCTTGAGCCCGAGGTTTCCTCTTCTGGGTTTGCTCCTGAGCCAAGTCTGGCAGCGTCAATGCACCCCAGGTTACCACTGCAGGCCCCACTATTGCCTGGATGCAGGAAGTACATTTATTTGCTCTGGGTTAGAAAGATTTCTCTAGTACAGCAGCAACAACCCTTCCCTCACAGAGAGCCCCTGGCCTGCCCCATGTCCCAGAGGAGGACCCAGTCACTGAGAGCAGCACAAAAAGACCAGCACCAAAGCCATCCTTGCAGCCATCCACAGGCTGTGCCAGGTGCTTCCCACACCACCTTTGCACTGCCCTTTTCCCTTGCCATTCTTGCTGTGGGAGCCAGTCTGGTCAGATGGGGCAGTGGGAGGCAGAAGAGACTCTGTGGCACTGTTTTAAATCTGGCCACTTGTGTCTTTTCTCTGAACATTTTAATGAGAAAGCATTCCCAGAGAGAGATGATTTTAAAGCAGAAACAGCTAAATGCACACAGTTAAAACAACATGAGTTTCTCCCCTGAGCCTTGACTCTATCATGAACTGCTGCCCTTGTGCACAGGACCCAGTGCAGTCAGGCCATGGAGCAGTGGAGTTCTGCTGGATGAGAGCCCAGAGAGGAGCTGGTGCTTTAGTCCCTGGAATCCAGGTGGTTTGAGGATCAGGGGTGAGCCTGGGTCAGTTCCTTTCCTCGCATTCAGCATGTGGTGGGGAGATGGCTCAGGAGAACAGTTGGTGCATGGAATGGGAAGAAACGACAAGGGCAGAAGCAGTGTTTAGCAGTTTCTGGCTTGCCTTTCTAGCATCCCCTCTCACCCAGTGGGAAAGAGTGTCCTGAAGTTGGTGACAGAGCTGAGCTGGCAGATGGAGCTTGGCCACTAAGAAATACAAAGGGGCTTGGAGAAACCAGAGGGGACTGCCACAGAGGCTGGGTCCATCTCATACCTTTTATTCTTCTCGTGCATCTGGGACACTTCAGTGGAAGCTGCCCCAAATCCAGGCACAACGTGGGCATTATGCACCACATGTACCTTATTGTGGTGCTTTTTTCTCAAGAGACAGCTGAAAACCTTCTTGAAGCCCTTACGGAAGTGCTTGGACACTAGGGCGTAGATGATGGGGTTGAGGCAGGAGTTGGCATAGGCCATGCAGTGGGAGAGCAGGCGGAAGGCATAGGTGGCCTGGTTGAAGGGGAAGTCTCCATAGAGGTATCGGAGGATGATTACGTGGTAGGGCAGCCAGCACAGGCAGTAAAGGATGGTTACAATGATGACCATCTTGGTTACCTTCCACTTGGCCTTCCTGGACTCTGCCATGTCCTCCAGAGGGTCCACTGCTGTCCACAGGTACTTGATGGTTCTGGTGTAGGAGAGGCTGATGACCAGCACTGGGATAATGTAGCCGAAGGTAAACGTGCTGGTATCCATGACCTTGCGTCTCCACTCCTCCCAACCAGGTATGCAAATGTAGCTGGACTCCCACTCAATCAGGTCGTAGTAGCTTAGGTAGGGCCCAGCAAAGACCACAGAGAGACCCCAGATCACAGCCATGGCTGCCGCTGCGCTGTGGGGGGTCCGCAGCTCCCGGGAGCGCAGCGGATAGCGGATAGCCAGGTACCTGTTCAGGAGAGAAAAGCAGCCAGTGCTGAGGTTTCAGCCAAGCTCTGCCTGGTCACATAAATTCCTGGGACAAGAGAGTGACCCTACATGTTATCTCACACCCTCTTTGACATACAGTCCTGGGTAAAGCAGCTTTTCTCTTTCTAGCAAGGATGCATCTCTCTCTAGCCATAGATGGCTGCCTCCTCCGGGTGTGATGGGGTGGGTTATGTCCCTGAGCTTGAGCACAGAGATCATTCTGTGGAGACAAGGCAGATATCTACTGCTCAGCAGAATCTATCCAGCAGAAGGAGGTCTGAACTGAAGATTTAAGACCCGAGGTAACTTCACTGGGTGATGGGCTGAAGTTTCCTTCTGTCTGCAGGGCTGTGGACCTCTCATTGCAGAGGGCTGTCTGTCCCTGTCTTTTGGTACCTTGAAAGCAAGCACAGGGAGCAACATGGGCCGGGATATATCCCTAGTGCAGTCAGGGCTGGAGCTTATCCTAGTGGGGACCTCTTCTTCAACCTGGACCAGAAGTGTAGGCTTAGTCAGAAGGGCAGCTGGCACAGTTGCCTTACAGAGCCCTTAGGAACAATGTAGGTGACACCAGTCAGGGACCAGCATGTCCTGGGTGACCTCCAAGAAGGGACTGGGCTTGTGATGCGGGTGCCTTTCTGTGCAGAGTGCAGAAGGGCTGGGGGCAGGGCGGGGACAGGAATTGCTCGGTGACAAGTTTTTTTGCTGGGCTGGCAGTCCCTGAGAAATGAGAGGTGTTTACTGCAGGACTGGGGGCTCTCTTGCCTATTTTTATGGCTCCTGCTGTGGTGCCCTGTTGACCTTGCTGCTGCACGTGATGCTTTTCTGAAATGGTGGCTCAGGGACAGTTGTTACTCTCTGAGTGGCATCTCTAAGGCAGAGTTGGGACTCTGTGGGAGTCTGGGGCACAGTGGGGAGCTGATCTTGGGTCTCAAGTGCTCTCAAGTCTCACCTTGGGGAGATCTTTCCTGCAGAAAGATTTGCACTTGAGAGATCTGGAAATGCTTCTTGCAAGTCATTAGGGCAATGAAGACACAGCTGGTCCCCAAACTACCTTTGGCATGGATCGATACCACTGGGGCTTGAATCATCTGCCTAGTGGCGGTGGGCCATGCTCTTCCCGTGCCCTCTGCCCACTCAGACCGCTTTCCTTCTGCAGCCCAAGGGCACCTGTAGATTATTACCTGTCCACAGAGACAGCAGCCAGAGTAAAGCTGCTAGCGTACATGGTGAGGTAGATGAAGAAATGGACAGCCTTGCAGATGAAGGAGCCAAAGACCCATCCCTCAAGGGAGTAGATGGTGGCCTGGAAGGGCACGCAGAAGACGATGAAGAAGAAGTCAGCCAGGCTGAGGTTGAGGATGAAGAGGTTGGTAGTGTTGTGGCCCACCTGACCACTGCGCAGCAGCACAGCCAGCACCAGGCTGTTGCCCACTGTGCCCAGGAGGAAGATGAGGGAGAAGACCACAGGGACAATAACCCTGTCAGGGCTGAACTGGCAATTGTCAGAGGAGTTCCAGTAGGCAGCCAAGTTCATGAAGTCCTCGTACTCCGTCATTCTGTGTCGTGGTGAGACGCAGGAGCCTGGCACAACACAGGGAAAGATGTGAGAGACTGGAGAAACATTGCCTAGCCTGTAAGTTTGGCTGGTGGGCCCACCAGCTCACTGGAGACACAGAGCCCTGTTCTCAAGCTTTGTGACCCACAGCCTTTATTGCTGATTCCTCTGGACACTGCTGCCTGGAGGACAGGTAGACTTGGTTGGGGGCAAGAGGTGTCCTTCTTCCCTGTTCTGTCCCTGAAATGAAGCCACAGCCCATGTTCAGATGCTGTCTTGGACTGATGATGCTGGATGTGAGGTTTAGGGGAGAGAGGAGGATGGCATCTGTCCCCAGCTTTCTCCTCTGTGGGAGAATGAAGCCAAGATTTCTGCCTCCCAGCTGGTTCAGCTGATGTCAGGAGGGGTGTGATGTTCTTTCCACCAGTGGGGCTCCAGCTCCAAACCAGTGATCTGGACAAGTCAAGATGTTGCTCTCCTGCTACCATCATGCAGATTTTTATCCCTCTCCTGCTCTCAACTCTTTTGGTATCTGCTCTTAGAATAAACCTCACATACTAGGCATGGAGTTGGAAATGCTTTTGGCAGTGACAGCTTGACAGCTATTTCACAGCTCCTATGTTGTGCCCAGGTGGGAACTTTCTGAAGATAGCTCTAATGGGACGCCTTCTCCTTTGGTTTGAGTGACCCAAATACATATTCCCTTTCTATGTTTCACAGGGCAGCTCTCCCAAGGATCTGGGCTTTTCATATCATTCCCCTGCCCCCAAAATAAGCATTTGGGCTGCAAGCAGAAGGCAAAGTTATATCTGGAAGCCCTATTTTTTCTGTCACAGGCGTAGAAGTCTGTCTGCATACTTCTGAGCTTTGAGGCTGGGCAAATATTCCACACACATCTTCTCTTGAATAAAACGTGGCCTGGGTTATTCCCCCTGTGCAGTGTTTGTAGGGGTGTGCTGTGGTTAACAGAGTCTGGCCCAAGGCCACCATGAGTGTGGAGATTGCAGAGACTGTGGAAGAACCAAGCCTGTAGCTTGTGCGCTCCTTCAGGCTTGGGAATTAGTGAATGCTCCCCAGGGAGCACCAGCAGTGCCAGTGCCTGAAGCAGGAACACTGTAAGGAGGCCATTCCCACAGGATGATGTCCATGAATGTAAACCCAAAGCATCATAAAGCCTCAGAATCTTTTTACTGCTCTCTGGGAGCTGGTTCTGCTCCCCGGGACCCAAAAGGTCGCTGGCCCTCATTCATGACCATGGGATTGCTCTGATAGCCCCACCCCATCCTGAAACAGAGGGGGTTTCACAGGGATGACCTCAAGTTTGCTGAATGTGAATTCGCCTTGTGGGAGGTGCAACACACGAATTTTATGTCTGGCTTAGACTCTACTGTTTTATAGTAATCAAGAGCTCCATGAATGCTGCCTATGTGGCAGAGGGATGAGCTTTCCTCTGGAAAGCTGGGATGGCCAGCACTGAAGTGCATACTACTTATTTTTCCTAGATCTACCTCAGCGTATGGACAAAGCAAATTCAGTGTCAGCTACTCACCTAAGAGGAGAGTACTCCATGCAATATGGATGTGTGGGAAGCAGGGCAACTTACACAGGGCCTGGAAGGACCTGGAAAGACCTGGAAAGATAAATGTATGGGGGCCTGCCAGAAGGTCTGGTGCAAGACACTGCTTAACTCCTCTGGGACCAGGGAGCTTCCCTGTGTGCCAGGAAGAGCAACTCAGCGTGCCGCTGGTGTATCTACTTGATTGCACTGGCTTAGGCTGTGCTTGGGATGACTTGCCATGCAAGGCTGTGGCACTGAGATCCTTCTTCCATGAGGCTGTGAAAGGTATTAGCAAAGCTGCAGAAGAGCTGACAGCTAGAAACAAGCATTGTCTTATCATCTACCCAGACAGTGTCTATGTTGCCTGCTAGAGTCTCTGGCTGCTTCACTTTGCATTCCCCACCCATCCTTCTCATTCCCAAGCTCACCCTCTTTCTTTACTCTCTCTCTCTTGCAAGGCACATGAACTGCTAGTCAGCCCTCCTCAAAGACTGCTCTAAAGAGAATAAAATGTCAGGGAAATACCTGCACCCCCACTTGCAAATCAAGGAAGGCAACAACTGCAAGGAAGGCACCCCTCCCTGGCGCGACCTGCAGTGCCATCACTTTGAGTAATAGCACATCACATAGCCTGGTTGCAGTCCAAATTTGATATCCCTTGATGTTTAAGTGAGCAGTTCTTCCTTTACTTGGAAAAACTGTTTCTGTCTGTCAGGGAGCCATTTCTGTTTCCATTCACCCCTCAGCTCTAAGCTTATTTCTTAAGCCTATAGGAATGGGAGTTCAGGAATCTTTGTGAATTCTTTTGGGGGACAATCGATGGCCTGGAGCAGTGTGCCAGCTGGGATGTGCTAGCAGGATGGTGGTTGTACTCTTGTCACAGCGTTGAGGTTCTTCCTGGTTGCTTGTGGCTCATGACCCAGATGGTAAGGATCGTGAAGGCAAAATAGTGCTTCAGTCCCCTTTCATAGGTGAGAAGTGAGACACAGTGAGCATGAAGAGATGGCTTTGCAACCAGCTGGATCAGGGAACTCATTGATGCATCAGAGAAACAAATCTCTGCTGGATTAGCTCTGATTCATCTCTCTGTGTACAGTCCTGCCTGCAGACAGGACAGCAATAGAACAGACATGGAGTGAGAGCAGGGTCTCTGAAGTGACATACAAGAACTGTGACGCTGGTGCTGGGGCACTGAGATGCTAAGTGAGTCATTCAGAGCATTTCTGGCAGAGTGGGATGTCTCCAGGTCCCTATTTAGGATCTTCTTGGGAAGTTGCCGCTCCCCCCAGTGGCTCTGTTGTCCCTTGGAAGCGTTTTACAACCTTCTCATACCTTTTTGTGAACAGGTGTATGTCAATGCTCCAGAGTTTTACTTGTTAATGAATAGCTTTAAGGAGCAGCGAGAGGGATAACTGCTTGAGAGGAAGGATGATGCAGAGTATGGGCAGCCAGATTACTCTCCCACATCTACTGCTCAGGACTAGCAGGGGCAAAGGCAATATGATGGAGAAAGTAATACTCCCAGGGATGAGAACCCAGTCAGTGGCAAAGTTGGGACTCAAGAAACCTGATTTTTTCTAATGAGGGTTTGGTAGGGAATTGGCTGGGAGAATGGTTCCCAGTACCGGTTGGTGGGGTTAACAAAAAGTCCAATACAGAGCCCTGGTGGGGACAGGCAGCACGTCATGCCAGGGAAGCTGTGAGCCAGCACAGCCAGCTTCTGAGGCCAGGGAAGGTCAAGAAAGGCAGGAGGAGGCAGTGTAAAGGGACAGGTAGCAGTGTCGGGAGGGACAACAGAGACCCTCTTGATATGGACAGATAGGAGTAAGGAGAAGGATGGGGAGCAGGCAGCCTGCACACTCTGTTGCAGTGGGAACTTCCCGGGCTGGCTGTCCTGGCTGAGGGTGCCTCTGCTCCCACTTTGTGCAGCAAAGCTGCCTCATTCGCTCTTCAGGGCCACAGGGTAGAGCTCCCGAGCTGCTCCGGGAGCCCAGCCTGCCCGCCAGCACCTTCCAGGCAGACAACCTCCCGCTCTGTGCCCAACCTGGGCAGTAGGGGGCGGCCCGAGCACTGCTCTGACCCGCGGTGGGCACGGATGTTTGTGCCCCGGGGGCCTGCCCGGACCCCGGAGTCGCTCGCCGCGCCGCCCGTCCCGTCCCGTCCCAACCGCCCCGCCCCGCCCCGCCCCGCCAGAGGCAGCGGCTCTGCCTGGTGCGGGGTTCCTAGAGCCCCGCTCCGCCCGAGCCGGCGGGATCCCACCTGGGCTGAGGGCAGCTCCCTCTGCTGCTGCCGGTCCCACCTCTCTCCCCGCTGCCGCTGGCCGGTCGCGGTGCCGGTGCCGCTCGGGCAGAGCCTGGTGCTAGCGGCGGCTCCGCCCTGGCCCACCGCTCCCTCTCTCGCACTCGCTTTCACACTCACACGCAGACGCGCTCGAATACCTGCATCCCGCAACACCCGCCCAGAACATGCCGATGCCCCCGAGCTCACACTCAGAGTATCCACCGGCATGCACAACCTCTGGAGCACCGATACCGAGCACAGCCTGGCGCGTACACACTCCTCCCGACACACCTGCACATCCACACGCACATCCCGCAGCACCAGCCACTGCTTCCTTGTCCCTGGCACTCGGGAAGGCTCCAGGGGTTCCTGGGGACCGGAGGGGCAGCTGGAGTCCCCCAGCAGCTCCCCTCCGGGAGGGGTTAGGGCCACTGGGAACAGACTGAGTGTCTGTAAGGGAACCCAGGGAGGCACCAGCTCCTCGGCGACACGTGCAAACACGTATTTCAGACCCCCAGGGTCACGGCAGGGATGTCCCCATCCCCACTCCTGAAGGGCAGCCTCATGGCTATTCTCCTTCCCTCCCTGCCACGTTGGCCACTGTGTTGTGCTGTGTGCCGCTTCAGCACCCAGAGTGACGGTGTCACTGGGGAAGGGGGTGGGGGGTCTGTGTAGAACAAGGTGCGGCAGGAGCCCCCTGGCCCCAGAGAGGTAGGATGGAGGACTGTATGTAGTCAGCAGTGAGCCACAGATGGAGCAGGAGGCTGAGTGCCTGTGCCACCAGAGATGGTGGCAGTGCAGATGACCAGCTCTCACAGACAGAGCCCGTACCAACCCTGCCTCAGCTGGCAGCGTGTCAGCAGTGAGAGGGCTCCATGTAGCACCTGGCCGAGGTCAAGGCTGTGCACTGTGCAGGGTAGGTTCAGAGGCACACTGAGGTCCCATACAGAGAACCCCATAGTGGAGTCGTCACTCGTGGTCCAACACATTTCCCCACTCTCTTTTGGACCACAGGGGAGGGATATGCTGGTGAGAAGATGCAGTGTCATTTTCTGACTGCCCCCTTCTGACTGTCCCCTTGGGTTCCCTGCACCCCAGGGTCAGTGTCTGGGCTCCGAGGATGGGTGGGATGGGCTGGAAGCCTTGTTCCAGCTGGGCTGGTGGGTCTAGGCTGCTGGAGAGCTGCTGGCCAGCTGTGAACTTTGCAGAGGGAAAAACCGCTCCCTGGGGT